GCCTCAGGTGTGAAGCCCCTCCAGTCTGCTTGCCTCTCTTGGGTGTGCATGCTCGCCCCTCTAAGGGCCAGGCTGTGGCCGAAATGAGCGAGGCCAGCTGGGTGAGGACAATGGTAGACAGGGTGATGCTACTACTCCACCCGGCTAACAACATTGAGGAATAGAGATCAGCATTGCCAAATCTCCATATTATCCAAAAGAAGCTGGAAATGTTTGTTTGTTTTTATCTCCAAAGTTTTAAATGCTGGTGACCAATTCCAAATGTTTATGGAGATTTATGGTTGGTGTTTCATGGGTCATCCCAATCAATTGGCCTAATGTTGCTTTTAATGTTTCGACCCTACATTCTAGTTCACTGCTTACTTCCTGGGGTCTGAGAGCTTGCAAGTGGCCATCAGAAGTAGAGTCCCTACTTCTCTGCAGCAGCATCAGCAGAGGACTCAGGGATCAGAGGACCTGGAATGCATGGCTAATTGCCTCCATGTACAACTGCCTTCTTTGCTATGAGACCAGAAGAACTGGATGGTGCCTGACTCCCATTTTTGAATGTTTTGATCAAAGATTCTATAGAAGAATCCTGATCAAAATGCAGGGGAAATGTGGAACAGAGTTTCAAATTCCAATGGAATCCAGACTTTATGGAGACATGGAGGCTAGATGACCCCAGGAAACTATTGTCCTGAGATAATCTTTAAATCGTAAGCAGAAACTATCCTCCAATAGTTTAATAGTTTGATATTTGAAACTAAATAATGGTTTAATTAGTAAAAAATGTCTGTCTTGAGTGGTGTGCTCTTTTAAAGAATTATCTGTATGGGATTAAATTGACAACTGCAATAGGAAAGGTTAGACAGGAAGCTTAGGGGGCAGTGAGTTTATGTTCCTGACGGTAGAATAATGTGGAAAAGGGCATTGAGAATGGCCACACAACTTGAAGAGTTTCATTGGTGTCACTGAATGGTACCTATAGAAATTGTTGAATTGGTGTATGTTTCACTTATATTTTCACCAAAAAAAATAAATAACTAAAATGTTTAAAAATATCAATCAAAAACACAACTGTGGAGCACAGTTGGTGACTTCAGCTCTGCACATGCCAAGTGTGGTCGCCTGATTCATTGCTCATGTTTTGATGGCTTACTGTGGTTTATGGGATGAAGACTCAGTGCCTTTGCATAACATATAAAGTCCTCCAGGACCTGAGCCCAACCACCTGTTTAGCCCCGGTCCTTGCACAGGCCATGCTCCAGGTGAGGTGGACAAGGGGGCACCTGCCCCGTGCCTGCTGCCTTCTCAGAGACTTTGCCTCCATCCCAGGCCCTGGTGAGTAGGCAGTGAACCAGGTGGGTGAACACCTGACCCAATGAGTGGCCTATTCGTGGGCAGCTTAATGTCAGGACTGGTGCAGTCTGGCTCAACCAAGTGAGGTGGATGTCAGAACCCTCTCTCTTGGGAGTCTGGATGAAGACCCAGGGGTATGTTTCCTGCCAGTGGTGGGTTCATGAGCTAATTGTGCAGGTGAAGTTGGTAATAGGTTGGTCATTGAGGGCCACAGGAGCCACAGGCACCAGTTATGAGAAAGCAAGCACTCAATGGGAGCCAGGAGAGAGCAGGACAGAACAGATGAGCAGAGCAAGGTGGAAAAGCTGGGAGCCATGGACAGATGATGAGAACCTTGGTCCTGTAGGTACTGAACAGATTCTCCTGGGTTCCCTGTGAGCCTCTCTGTATCTTACAAAAACTCCTCACTTTGATGTGAGCCGACCAGATCAAAAACCAGTTGCCACTGTATTAATTCCTGCTCATGGCGACTCCATGAGTCAGGTAGAGCTGTGTTCCACAGGGTTTTCAATGGCTGGTTTCTTAGATCACTGGGCCTTTCTCCTGAGACACCTCTTGAGTGGACTCGAACCTCCAACCTCTTGGTTAGCAGCTGAGTGCATGAAGCATTCGTACCACTCAGGGACTCTGAGCTGGCTGGAGAGGGGTTTTAATCCTATGCAAGTGAAGAGCCGGGGTAGTGCCCTCCCAGGCCTCTGTGCCACCCAGCCCCACTCTCTTCCTACCTGGGCAACTAGTCACCCTCCAGTCTCCTTTGATTAAAAGTTCTTTCTGTGAAACTTTTCCTGACTTCCCTGGGCTAACGTGGGCACACCTGAGCCACATTTCCACCACGGTCCTTGGTTTTCATTTGATTTTGGTCTTTGGTCTTCATTTGGCCTGATCAGCAGCCATTCCCCCTTCTCAGGTATCAGTACTTTGGTTTTGCTTTGCTCCCCACTCACCTTGCTTTCAGGCTTTCAGTAGTGGTAGGACAATCAAGGGCCACATCCTCTCCTGGCTGAGGGGTGGGAGTGGGTTCCTATAAGGCCAACTGGACCCTTTCACCCCTGGAAACCTGAAGCAGAGTGACACACTCCAATAGAGTTGGAGCTGCTTCATCCTGGTGCACTAAACAAGCTGTCATTTCCCAGTCCTGGACCTGATCAAGGTCTGGTTGTTCACCATTTCCTTGGATTCTGTAAGCTGCCTTATATCCTCTCCCAACTTCCTTCCACTCCCACTTTTGGAATTAGCCAGAGTCAAAGAACCCTAACTGGCACCACCTTTATCAAACTGAACAGGATACAAGTTGTTCGGTCCTTACACTGTCTTATCAGGGACCACAGAGCATCCATCTTTGTGCCCACTAGCACCCTGGCACATAGGAGGCTGAAGAGCTCAAGAGAATAAGTGGTGGCCCAGTACCATAAACCCAAAGCTCCATGGTAGAGTTAAGGTGGTCTGGAAACTCCACACCTTAAGAGCTGGTACAGGCTGAAATATAATCAAGAAATGTATAGATGTGGATGAGATCATAACAGATCTGACTTAGAGACAATACTATGTGTCTGTGGAACAACCATACACTTTCAAGGGAGTGAGCCATGCTGGGGTCTCTGCAAAAGGCAAATGCAGAAGTAGGAGCATTGCTGACACTGGCAGAAATGTATTGTAGGAGCTAGTCTCCAAAGATGATCACCCTAATGAATCAATCTGCTCAGTAGTCATGCCTTGTCTAGTCCACACTCACGCTGAAGCCAGTCTGACCCTGTGTTGCCAGTACAGCGTGGCTGAAGCCACTCCAGCTAGAGGGAGCATCAAGGATCGAGTGTTTTATCCGTTTGTCAAGACATCTCAACAGATGTTATGTAAATTCCTGGAGCCTTGTTTTTCGTCAATTCCTTCAGTGCAGCTTGGACTTCTTCCTTCAATACCATTGGTTCTTGATCATATGCTATCTCCTGAAATGACTGAAAGTTGGTCAGTTCTTTCTGGTATAGTGACTCTGTATTCCTTTCATCTTCTTTTGATGTTTCCTGCGTTGTTCAGTATTTTGCCCATAGCATTCTTCAATATTGCAACTGAGGCTTGAATTTTTTCATTTCTCTCAGCTTGAGAAATGCTGAGCATGAGCTTCCCTTTTGATTTTCTAACCTCAGATCTTTGCATACTTCATTAGAATACTTTACATTATGTTTTTGAGCCACTCTTTGAAATCTTCTTTTCAGATCTTTTACTTCATCATTTCTTCTATTCCTGTTAGCTCTGTCCATTTAAGAGCACTTAGAGTCTCTACTGACATCCATTTTGGTCTTCTCTTTCTTCTTTGTCTTTTTAACTCTTGTTTTCTTCATTTATGATATCCTTGATGTCGTCCCACCTTCTGTCTTTGGTCAATGGTGTTCAATGAGTGAAACCTATTTTTCAGACAGCCTCTAAACTCAAGTGTAATATACTCAAGGTCATACTCAAGGTATGATATACCCAAGGTCAAAAAATATGGCCTTGGTGGTAGAAATGACAGTGGAGACTACATGATAGAATTTTGCAAGACAACTGACTTATTTAGCAAATACCTTTTTCCAACAACATAAACAGCAACTACACACATGGGCCACACCAGATGGATACACAGGAATCGAACTGACTACATCTGTGGGAGGAGATGATGGAGAAGCTCAATGTTGTAAGTCAGAACAAGGCCAGGGTCAACTAGGGAACAGACCATCAGTGCTCATATGCAAGTGGAAGCTGAAGAATATTAAAACATAGTATTAAGCCACAATAAGCCAAAAATAACCTTACCTGGTCCACACAGAATTTTGTATCCTACTTTTTCATATCACGTTCTTACACAAGCATTTCCCGTGTGTTATCTATTGGTTTTGTTTTTTGATGGCATCATAATTCATTCAGGAGCTGTGTTACAACTCCTTGAGCAATTCCCATCCTTGAACACTTGCTTTTCTTCCAGCTTTTTTGGGCACTGTGGCTCTAGTCATCTCCTTACAATCATTTCCTGAGCATGGTTTCAGTGGCACAAGATTGTCGGGTCAAGGGCGGGGCTCATTCTCTCGCTTTCAGGGCTGTCATACTTGTGTGCCAAAGGATGAAAAACAAAAAACCAAACTCACTGCCGTCCAGTCCATTCAGACTCATAGCGACCCTAACGGACAACAGAACGGCCCCATGGGTTTTCCAGACTGTCGGTCTTCACAGAAGTAGACGGCCACAACTTTCTCACAAGGAGTGGCTCGTTGGTTCCAGCCACCCAACCTTTGATCAGCAGCCGACTGCATCGCAGGCGCTCCTTGCCAGAGGATGAGGACACCGGCTAATCCCGTGGCGCTGCTACTGCCAGCTCTCTTAGCTTTTGCCACTTTTACAGGTGCCCCTGTCTCATTCTGCCTGGCTCTGATTTTCAGGGGGTTGACTTCCTCCGAGGGGTAAGTTTCCGCTCTCCTTGCCCTTTGTCCACTCACCCGCCAGGGAGAAAGGTGTTTTCAATGGACGTCACCTCCAGAGCGCATGACGCCGAGGTCGCAGGGGCACGTGTCAGCCGCGCGAGGCCCCGCCCCACCGGACTACATTTCCCAGGCGCGAGAAAGGCAGGCGAGCGCGACCGTGCTTTCCATTCGCCGGCTGCGACGCGGAGTCTGACGCGCGCGACTAGCGTGATGGCTGCGTGGCGCGAGCGGCTGGCCGGCGTGCGCGGCGTCCTGCTCGACATCTCAGGCGTGCTGTACGATGGCGGCGCGGGTGACGGCACGCCCATCGCCGGCTCGGTGGAGGCAGTGGCGAGGTTAGCGGTGGCGGGCGGGTAACCCGGGGCGCCAGGCGCCATGTTCAGCGCGGCCCGGGCAGCAGCGCCGCAGCCGACGTGGGCCGCGCCGGCGTCAGGGGGCGGGCCGGAGTGGCCGTGGCCGGCGTCGGGGGCGGGGCCAGGTTCTAGCCCCGCCCTGCCTCGTGGCGGGTTGAGAGCAGGGCAGGGGAGGACTGCGCTGCACACCCTGCGACCTTGCGGTGAACAGGGCGCCCTGGGCGAGCACGGGGCCTTGGCTGGCTGGAGCTGCACTGTCAGCGCGGCAGCCACTCGCTACAGGTGGCTCCTGAGCACTGAAAAGGTGAGAGTCTGAATTGAGACGTGCCACAGTGTAAAACACATACCGTATCTGTAAGATAGTACGAGAAAAGGAGGCGATAGGTCGCTAGTACGAATTGTTTCCTACTGATTGCATGAAGTGATGTTTTGGATTTACTAGGTTAAATAAATTATATTACATGAGTTTCTCCTGTTTGTTTTATTTCCGCTACCCACCAAAAACCCGTTGTGGTCGAGGTGATTCAGAATCGTAGCAACCCTACAGGACGAAGTGGAACGGCCCCCAGGGTTTCCAACGCTGTAAATCCTTACAGAGGCAGAGTGCCACATGTTGCTCCTGCGGAGCAGCTGGTACTAGAAATATCAAATTAGGGTCACTGTGAGTGGCAGTTGGCTGGATGGCAGTGGATAGTGGGTGCCTACTTTGTGTCTCTATTGGACAGACAGGAGGGGAGACTGCTAGGACCAGACTTGGTGCCACTGGACCTTGGGCTTTGTAATTGCTCTTGGCGATTCTGGGAAGGGCTCCTTGCACAGGAATTGGCCTCCCAGAGTCGGCAGCTGAGGGACCCTGGCTTGGTGGCCTGATCTTCCCTGACTCAGTGTACCTGGCTGTAGATGGCAATGTGTGCAACAGCCCAGATCTAAGAGACCCCTGGCCCTGGGGGCTCTGTGTTGACTGATGCTTTCCTTCCCTTCCTGCCTGCTTCTGCCTTGCTCTGTTGACCTCAAGGCCCCAAACGGGCTCGTATTCACACTAGCTTACAGAGAAGGCCATTTTGTGGGTGATGCCAGCAGGAACAGGGCAGAGGGCTCTGGGCTGTGTTTTGGGGTTTACCCAAATTTTGTGGGTTGACTTGGAGAGCCTTAGTACTGTGTTTGAGACAGACCTTCATGGGGCTGATGTCTTGAGGGGAGAAGGACACAAATGAATAAATCACCATAGAGTGGGAGAAGTGATGAGAAGAAAAGAGGGTGTGATGGGGGCCTGGGTTTGAGAGGGAGATCAGGGGCAGCTCTGAAGACAAAGTATGTGGACTGCATGGGGAGGGTAGGAAGGAACCATCTGCACATGGTGGGGTGGGGGTGCAGGAAGTGCATTCCAGGCAGAGGGAACAGCAGCTGCAAAGCCCCTAAGGTGGAAGAGAACTTGACATGTTCAAGAAACTGAAGAGTAGTGACGAGGGAGAGTGGCTACACTAGGCAGGGACCCGAAGGCCACAGAGCAGAGTCTGGATTTTGTCCTGAGTACAGTTGGAAGTCACTGAAAATTGTAAGCGGGAGTGTCATGTGATCTGGTTTATGTTTGAATGAAATCTGCGTGTAAAACGTTAAACCATATAAGCACCAAATGAAAACACTGCAGATTTCCTTTGGAATCATGGAGTGAGAGAAGGGCTGTGCCTCAGAATCTGGACGGCGACAGCAACAGCAACCAGCAGGCCCCTAGTAAACAGGAGATCAGTTAATTCACAGGACAGGAAGAGCAAATGACCTTTAAGTATATGAAAGATGCTCCGCCTCACTCAAATGAGAGAAACACACATGAAAACTGTAGCGACAGGCCATTCTCCATCTGTCAAATTAGCAAACATCCAGAAGCTTGAGAATGCATTCTCTTGGCAAAAGTCTGGGGGAACAGACCTTCATTCATTGCTTGTGGAAGAAGCACCTGATGTTGTCTGTCAGTAGTTCCACTTCCGGGACTCGGTCCTCTCGCTATACCTCAACCATGACAGATGCTGTAGGCACAGAGTCATTCTTGGCAGTGTCTGTTGAAATAGCAGAAGACTAGAAACAAGCCAAATATCCATAAATGGGGGAATATTACGGTCTGTCTGTCTCGACTGTAAAATACCATGCCACATAGAAAGGAATGAGCATGCCCTCCAGGTAGTGACGTGGAGAGCCACAGTGTTCATGAAGACAGCAAGCAGAGGACAGGGTGTGTCTGTATTGTAGAAAACCAAACCAAACGCACTGCCAACGAGTCGGACCCGACTCATAGTGACCCCTCCTTGGGTTTCCGAGGCAGTATCACTATAGAAGTAGATTGCCCAGCCTTCCTTCCGAGGAGTAGCTGGTGGTTTGAACTGCCAGCCTTCTGGTTAGCAGTCAGGTGCCTTAGCCACTACGCCACCAGAGTTCCCCTGTATTGTAGAGAAGACAGAAATACAAGAAACCATGGAAAGACCATACTACTTCAGAGCAGCCACTGTGTGACAAGCTCGGGACCAGTGAGGGGAGAGCTGGGTGGTGGAGGGCGAGGTAGGGAATGGCTTCACTGTGTAGCGTTGTATATATACATATTTAAAATTTGTGGACCATGTGAATATATTTTCCTTTCAAAATATTAAAGTATTTTAAGAAGAGCTCTGTGACTACAAAGTAGAGGTTGGACTGGGGAGGGACAGGGTGCGAGGAGAGGACAGGAGGCAGGAGACAAGAGAGGAAACGTGATAACCAGATACTCTGGTAACCCTAAGTCACTCAGGATGATGGGGCTTGGCTAGGGAGGTGGCAGTGGAGGTGGAGAGAAAGGGTAGGTGTTCCCAAATTGATACCCCCAAACCAACAGAAAACTCAGTGCCATCAGTCAATTCCAACTCATAGCAAATCTATAGGACAGAGCAGAACTGCCCCAGAGGGTTTCCAAGGCTGTATGACTCTTTACAGAAGCAATTGCCTTATCTTTCTCCCATGGAACGGCCCGTGGAGTTGAACTGCTGGCCTTTTGGTTAGCAGCCGAATGCTGTGACTACTGTGCCACCAGAGCTCCTGATACAGAACTCTCAGACACAGAGCCAGAGACCCAAGTGGGTATAAAGAGGGCTGCCGCTTGTCTTCTGTTGCCTCTGTGGTTTCTCCAAGCAAGTTCTGGTCTGATTTGCTCTAACTCTGGCAGATTTATCTAGAGGGTTCCCTGGTACCAGCTACGCTGTGTAAACCTAACATCGATGTAATGACCATCCTAAATACCCTACGGCCAGTTACAAAGCTGAGTGGTGTGTATATCTTCCCCCTGCCCTAAGGCCTTTCTGGATGACCTGTGGGGTTATTCCCTGGTGAAGAGACCTTGTACCTATTACCTCAGGAGGTTTTATCATTGTAGGGCCTGGGGGCCTGGAGGCCTGGTCACTGACTCCCCTGGGCTTCTGAGGCCACAGGACAAAGTCCACCTACCTCTGCAGGGGCCATCAGACCCTTCTCAGGTTACCTTTGCTGCCCCTCCTCTCTCTGGCCTCCTTTCCACCTTTCCCCAAGGAGTATGTTGCCACCTCTCTTGAGGGACCATCTGGCCCTTGGCTGACATTAGTTTTCTCTCTTCTGCTCCTCGGTGGGCTCTTTAAGGACTGGGCCCCTTGGTCCTGGCCAGGCCAGAGAGCCGGAGGTCGTCCGTGCTGCAGGCCAGGGAGTCCCTACACACCCTCCTCATGGATGAGGCGGGTGTCATGCCCATGAGCCCCAGAGCTCAGCATCTCACTGAAGGTGGCAGTGACGGTAGTGTTGGAAGCCCCGCCCCAGTGCAGTATGCACAGAGGGCTGCTGCTGGGGACTTTCGGAGGCGTTGGGACCCTGTTACTGCTTCTCAGGACCAGCAGTCTTTTCTGGACAGGACCTTGCTTGCCCAGGTGGGTAAAGCCGGGTGGTCAGCTGGGTTTGCAGCCACAGGAGGGAGCCTGATCATCCCTTTTGCTTGGTGGCCTCCTTGATATGGACGGCTCACTTTGAAGTCACACAGCAGCTCTGAGGAAGTTCCTGGGGAGAGACCTCCGCCCAGCCAGGGACCTGTGGGTGGGGGAGGGGCAGGGTGGGCCCCGGGGGAGCGTCCCCACCAGTCAGTGGACGTTCCTGGACCCTGCCGCATGTGAGGCCCCACACCATCTCCCTTCCCTTCTCTGGACCTAGGAGGGGCTGACACACGGCCTGCCACTCTTCCTGGGTTCAGCAAAACCCAGCAACAAGTGACCTCAGATTTTCTTAAAGGTTCCCACTTATTTTGGGGCTCAAAGCATGTAGAGAGTATAAAGTCCACTCTTAAAGAACACCGACCACACATGGAGAGTCAGCATCCTTGAGGGAGGGCCTGGACCTGCCACCTAAGGGTGGGGAACGCCAGCCTCTTAAAGGTGAGGAGATGGAGGTTCAAGAGATGGAGGGACTGGTGGGAGAGGGAAGGGGGCCAAGTCAGAATGACACCAGGGTCCACCAGATTCCAAAACCTTGGATTTCCTGTGGTGCTACACTGCTCTCTGAAAGGTGTATTCATTCATTCACTCACTGACTCATATACACACGTGCTCACTCGTTCACTCACTCGCTCATTCACTAACTCATTCATGCACATACCCATTCACTCACAACGTTCACTCATTCACTTGTTCATTCACTCACTCATTCACTTATTCATTCACTCACTGACTCATTCACTTATTCACTCACTCAACAGACATTTGTTGCGAGCTTCTAATCCACCGCTGTTCTAGGCCCTGATGGAGCAGGTGGTCCATGGGGGTGATGCAGGGGACAGCACACACATAGAAAGGGCTGAATGTCGGATGAAGCCTTTAGCCTGGCCGAAGGGGGCCAAAGGGTGGAGGTGCATGGCCTGGCAGATGGAGGGACCAGCATGTGGGCATTGGGGCTGAGAGTGCCTAGACCGGAACGGGAGGCCCAGCTCCCAAGGCCCCCAGCTCAGC